AAAATCCTGATCACTTCCCCAGAGTAGTACAATGTTACCATGGTAACTATGTATTTCTCTGGTCACAGTATGTTTTAAAAAAAATCATAAAAAAAGTAATATAAAAGAAAATTTTTTTTTTCAAAATCATTATTTTTTTTTTCCATACTATCACCAGTCAGTGTCCCTGATCACCGCTACACCAGTTATATGATGATGCTGTGCTGCACCGGTGACAGTGTGTAAAAAAATTGTGACTTTTTTTTTAAATTTCTTTATTTTCCAAACTTGCCATGCCTCTTACTAAATACCTTGGTCTGTCCACTTTACAAAAAGGGGTCATTTGGGGGTATTTGTGCTGTCCTGACATTTTAGGGCCTCAAGAAATTAGATAGGCTGTCAGGATTGATCAGTTTTCAGATATACTGTATACCATAGTTTGTGGATTCTATAACTTTCCTACAGACTAAATAATATACACTCATTTAATTTATTTTCACCAAGGAAATGTAGCAAAATAAAATGTGGCCTAAATTTCTGAAGAACAATTTGTTATTTGCAAAATTTTATAGCAGAAACGAAGAAAAAAGTGGGATTTTTTGAAAAAATGTCAGCCTTTTTTTGTTTATTTAGCATAAAATAAAAACCCAGTGGTGATTAAATAACAACAAAACAAATGGAAGCTCTATTTGTGATAGAAAAAAAAATATAAAAATTTTATATGGGTACATTGTTGCATGACCGCGCAATCGTCATTCATATGTGACAGCACTGAAAGCTGAAAATTGGCCTGGGCAGGAAGGGGGTGAAAGTGCTCAGTACTGAAGTGGTTAATACCATTTTAAGAGGGGGGTCCACATACCTATAGCGATATAGTGTATATACTAATACATATCTATGTACACACTGAAGAGCAAATCTGCATAATGCAGCAATAATTCTGCAATAGCTGACATATCAATGAATACAACATGTTCACTTATACCTGATTCGTTCTTACAGCACAGTCTGAAAGTTCAACTGCGTGATGTGACATTCTGCTGTTGTATATGACCTGCACACAGGAGTCAGCTTCTGTATTGAACAGCTGTGAATGATATAAAAAAAAAAGAAAAATCCTTCTTTTGTATATATATTTTTAATTATTCTTGAATGACACCCATTCTCACATCTTCAGTATTCACTAGGGCTTAGTTAGTATAAGAATAGATAATGTTCTCTTAAGCCATGATCCAAATGTCAGCTGAAATCAGCTGATAAAGTAGATACCGGCTGACATGCTGCCAGTGTGTACGGGTCCTTGTTTGACAGAAGCTGATCTCTCGGCCGACTTCTGTCAATCAAGCTTGCTGGAAAACCAGCAGCTGATCTGCATCCGATCAGCCAATGGCTACGAGTGCTGACCGGACGTGTGTCCTGGCAGTGGGGAGGGGAGATCTCCAGTTAGAACACAATCGCACAGCAGGGAGATCGCTGTACTACAATCGCATCATTAGTACAGCGACCTCCTCCTGAGCTGTACCAGGCTTTACCTTACCGAATAAAGTAAAGATATGTTCACTTTAATCATCCAATTTTTTCAAAGCAAAATCCTATGTTTTTTCTTTTTAATCACACGCTCATGGGCTGGGAATTCAAACTAAACATATATGTTGTTATTTATTATTATTATTATTATACAGGATTTATATAGCGCCAGCAGTTTGCTCAGCACTTTACAATATAAAGGGAGACAATACAGTTCAATACAAGAGGGTTAGGAGGGCCCTGCTCCTTGGAGCTTACAATCTAAGAGGAAGGGGCTGGTGGTACAAAAGGTAGTAACTGTGGGGGATGAACTGGTAGAAGGAATAGAAGATTCCGTTATTAGCTGAAGGCAGGATAGGCTTCCCTGAAGAGATAGGTTTTCAGAGATCACCTAAAAGTGGGCAGAGTAGGCGATAGTCTGATAGATTGAGGTAGAGAGTTCCAAAGGATGGGGGAGGTTCTTGAGAAGTCCTGGAGACAAGCATGGGAGGAGCAGACAAGGGAGCTAGAGAGCAGGAGGTCATGGGAGGAGTGGACAGGACGTTTTTGGTGATATTTGGAAACAAGATTGGTGATGTTATTTGGGGCAGAGTTAAAAATGTTTGTTTCTGGAATTAGATACACTTCAAAGTGGTTCTTCATGCAAAAAGTGAAGTTCCACTAGTTCACTCCCTCCCCCCAGCCTGTAACTGAGTTAGTTTTTTTTTTTTTTGGGGGGGGGGGGGGGGGGCAAGTACCGATTTTGATTGATACCCACTCCTAATTCCATAACCCTCTTTTAGGCAAGGATGATGACCCTTGCCCCCCTACTCTCGTCCTGTAGCCTCCTAGGACATATCACATGTCCCTGGAAGATGCAGGACTACTCACAATGTGCTGTGCAAGCTCATGCATGTGCAGTGGGGGGCTAGCTGTGGTTCCTCAAGAGGTCACAGTTGGCTCCATGTCCAAGATGATGGCACTGGAGACCCAGAGTGGTACTAGGAACTAGCTGCAGGAAGACCGTGCTAGACCGAAAGCACTGACGTTCCTCTTTACCCCTTCATGCTGATCGTAAATATGTGGCCTTACAGATCTGGGCTTTTTGCTGTGTGGCTGCATATATACATAACTGTCTTTGTGCTGGGAGCACGCTGTACAGCACACTCCCAGCACAAAGACCAGGCTGTCACTGGGAGCCCCAAGTCCCATACTAATGATTGGGACCCAGGACTCCCGGGACCAGGTCATCTGACAGCTTCTTATTGCCTATCACAATGATCAGTCACAGTGCAGCCTGCCCCTGCGGTTTTTTTTTTTTTCTGAATGGGGGAGAGATACACTGTATCTTTCTCTCATTGTAGACAGAAAGTAATTCAACGTGTGTGTAAGAATAAAATAAATAATAAAAAGTTAGTGTTAGGGTCAAGGATCATGGTCAGTATATTTTGTAAGCATTTTTGAAATTATTATCAGTGTAATTTGGCATCACTATGTTTCAGGTAGGATAAAAAAATGTGTACTATTGTTTTTGGGCCCTACTATGGGTACAAACAACAAATAACATACACATATGTGGTATCGTTGTGATTGTCAGGAGCAGGAGAACTTTTTTTTAGTTGATCTTTGGTGGTAGGTTATGGTAGTAGCAAGAAATATACAGCTAAATTTAAAAAATGTTTTTTTGTTTTGTTTTGTTTTTTACTATTTTGGGTCAGTTTTGATATTGAAAAACAAAATCAGGAGATATCTGTTACCATTTACCACCAAAATAAAGTCCAATTTGTCCTGAAAAAAAACAAGGGATAATCCACCTGGATACACAAAGTAGTTGCAATGATATGTACGGTTTTACTGTCAAAGTTGCAAATTTGTGTTCAGGCATTAAGATTTGTTTTACCCTAAGTCACTAAGGGGTTAAGTATGAACAAAATGGAGCCCATACTTCCACATCCACACTTCATACTGAATTACCAGATCTGTATGTTTGTTTCAAGTCAGTGACCTAAAGTACTGAAGTTAGAAATAGCCAGACAGCTATGTTTTACTAAAGAAAGTCAGAAATGGCTGTATATTTTTTCAGTACAGCTTTCCTTTAACCATGAGCCGCCCGGCCAATGGCCGCTTGGCGGCCGGCAAAATCCTTCAGTGTTCCGGGTGGTCGCCATATGGCGTCCTCCAGGGCATGCGCAGTTTGCGTGCCTGCAGAGCTGCGCAGCGGCGCGATCTGTCACCGGCCGCATACCTCGGACACGGCCGATGACAGATCTGAGTACCGGCCCCGTTGCCGGTACCATGTGACCTGCTGTGACCAATCACAGCAGGTCACATGACAGTTGTATACAATGGACGGCTTCATTAATGCCATCCATTGTATACTAGAGTGCCTAGCTGTGAATTGTCACAGCGATCACATGCACAAGCTGGGCCAATCACAGCCCAGCTGTGTCATGTGATTAGCCGTGGCCAAATCACAGCTAAGCACAAAAAAAAAAAAAGCCCTGAATGAATCGATGTCATTCAGGTAAATGCTTGCTTATAGCAAAGTAATTCTTTGCTATAAGCAAATTATGTAAAAAAAAAAGAAATACTGATCACTTCCCCAAAGTAGTACAGTGTTACTATGGTAACATTGTACTACTTTGGTCAATGTGAAAAAAATCCCCAAAAAAAAGAAAAACAATGTAATAAAAAATTAAAAATAATAAAAATTAAAAAAAAAATTTAATTTTTTTTCATACTGTCACCAGTCAGTGTCCCTTATCACCACCATGCCAGTTATATGATGATGCTGTACTGCACTGGTGACAGTATGTAAAAAAATTGTGAAAATAATTTTTTTCATTTTTTCATTTTCCGAAAAATTATGACAAAAAAAATACAACTTCAAAAAACTCGCCATGCCTCTTATGAAGTATGTCGGACTGTCTACTTTGCAAAAAAGGGTCATTTGGGGGACATCTGTACAGTTCTGACATTTTTGGACCTCAAGAAATTAGATCGGCCGTCAGTACTTCAGGACTGATCAATTTTCAGATCTATACCATAGTTTGTGAACTCTATAACTTTCCTACAAACTAAAAAATACATCCTAATTTGGGTTATTTTCACCAAAGACATGTAGCAGAATACATTTTGGCCTAAATTTATGAAGAACAATTATTTATTTGCAAACTTTTATAACAGAACAAAGAAAAACGTGTTTTTTTTTTTTCAAAATTTTCGCTTTTTTTTGTTAATTTAGCAACAAATAAAAACCCCAGTGCTGATTAAATACCACCAAAAGAAAGCTATAGTTGTGTGAAGAAAATGATAAAATTTTAGTTTGGGTACAGTGTTGTATGACCGCGCAATTGTCATTCAAAATGTGAGAGCACTGAGACCTGAAAAATTACCTGGGAGGAGGAAGGGGGTAAAAGTACCCGGTATGGAAATGGTTAAATTTAAGTAGCATGTGTAGGTACAAGCCTTAAATATTAACCTTCATAAAATCTTGAAATTGTATGGATAGATCTTCATTTATTTAAGTGTTTTATGGTGAACAATGTGTGAAAATGTACCCCCCCCCCCCACACGCACACACACACACACGCATAAAGATAATAAAGTATTACCAGGCCATATGATCCTTGCACCGAGACCGAGGTATTGATTTCTGGATAGATGTTTTCTAAAAACCACTGGAACTCTTTGCAGCCAAGTCTCAATCGCAGTTGTTTACGTTCGGTGATATCAGTCTTCTTGCTCTAAGAAAGAAGAAAATAACCATGATTCTACATTGCACCACAAGGTGGAATAAGAGCTCAAATCCAGCCAAACGTTTATGTGAAGAAGGTCTACAACTTCTGTCATCATATTTTTGCTATCTGTGATTCTGCTGGGGAGATTTGCCATTAGCTATTTCCTCTTTGACACCAGGACAAGGAATTAAGTAAGTAGGTTTTACTAGAGCAGAAAAGCACAGACAGCCATAAAAAAAAATTGCAAAGGTTAAAGTCCTCCCCATTTTACTAAAAAACTTTTAAGTAAACTGCATACTTTCCACTGACCAGGTTATGTAAGACCTCCATCCCAATGCTCTGATAGAAGACATCTTTGTATGGATCCATCCATACCTCCGCTATTCGGATTTTGTTTCTTAGCATTGCATCATCTTCAGTTATATTAGCTGTGCTGTGAATCTGAGACAGATGGCCAACTCGTGAACATGGTACGATTTCAACAAAGCCACCACAGAGCCAAACCTGTCAACAAATATACAATATAACTACACTAAAGACTGTTAGCTCCATAGTTTACAGTCAGAGACATGGCTACAGCTTATATACAACATACCCTCTATGTCCTATAAAACAGAAAGCATGCCCCTACTGCATGTGAAACTGTTAGACCTTAGAGTTGTTGGGATGTTAGCAGAAGATGGTGTACAATGGGTGGACCAGAACTCAAGGCACCTCACCAAGACACTTGCTATGTGTCATATGGTTTTTGTTGGGATGAAAATGTAATACATTTAGTTGTTCAGGCAAATTACCAACACAATCTAGCCATGATAAAGAGACAGATTACCTGGAAACGCATCGCTTTATCTGCTACTGCTCCCACATGTGCTCCTACAGCTCTTTTGAACTTGCTAGCTGATTCCAGTGTGTCAGTGCCGGCTTTGCTGAGGACAGTCAGCCAGTGTGAAGCTGTGGACCTCTGCTGCTCCATACATTGATGCATTGCCCTGCTGTACTGAGTTGCTCCATGAGGATTACCACGTTACTGATGTCTCTATGCTCCTACTTCCAGTTTTTTTCATGTAAGTGGATCTTATGTCTTTTGATATACTGACACCTTTCTGTGCTTGTGTCACTCGATGTCTATACCAGCTAAGTTTTTTCCCAAGATCCTGACTATCATGCTGCATTTGATGTGCTGTACGATTCCAAAGTGATAACATCACTCCCATCCATATTCTCTTGGACTTCTATGGACATTATTTTGTGATTGTAAACCCTTACATATACCCAGCAAAGTGACTGGTCTCAGGTGATATACAGAGATGAAATAAATCATCCTACAAATGTTGTATCTGTTTATCTGCAGTATTCTATTCTCAGCATCCATTCAAAGTGATGAATTTAAAAAAACGTTTCTGAGTTGAGAAAAGAGGGGCCAGAGAGCTGAATTTACACATGGAAGAGCTCTTGTCAGAAATTGTCAGAAGTGGTTCATGCTGATAGCAGAGGAATGAAGCAATAGACTGAAATGGCACTTGCTGCTCTTAATTGTGACAAGTACACACTATAAAGGGATATGCTTTGTTCATGTTTCATGTCTGAGGTTTACAGCCACTTTAATTATTAGGAACTGCTCCTAGACATTATTATAGCCCAGTCTCTTGTTTTTATACATATATATATATATATATATATATATATATATATGTACACACACTGTATATAGAATGTAGAAGGCACCAAGGATACGTCGTGGAGGGGTGTTATTTTCGTTCCTTTTGAGAGGTTCTCAGCCCTAGCTGAGAGATTTCAGGGAAATGCCAACAAGAGAGGAAATTGGTTAGCAGTTTATTCTGTGTTTCTTTAGTTTGTTATGGGTCCCTGGAGTCTGGAGACTTTAAGAGTTAATGGGAGGAATGAGTCTCCAACCTCTCACCCTGGGAGCTGAAAGGTTAATGGCCTCATCTGGGAGGAGAGATGTGTTAAGAGCATAGCCCTCACCTAGCAGGGGTGCTGTGTGAACTGTGTGTGGGATGACACATGGTTGAAAAACAGTGTCTGCTCCTAAACTGCTGAGCCATTTTCCTGGAGTTGCTATGCGCTGTGTTTGACCCACAGAGAAAGGCGAGGACATAGCCCTGGAGTGACATTTCTATGGAATTACCTATTCTGTGGATGGTTTTAAGTACCCCAAAGATTATTTTGGGTTAAGGACTGTTTTTGTCTGCTCCATACTTGTGTTTGAGCCCCTGTAGAGGCTGGAAGACTATTACCCCTCTGCTGGGACAGTTTTATTTCTTTTTGCTGCCAGAAAGCTGTTTTTGTTAAAGTTATTTGGAAAAATAAAGACTTAGCTTGATTTTACATGGCACTAGTGTGAGCGTAATCCCCCAGAATATCACAATATACAGTTAGGCTCATATATATTTGGACACAGGCACAATTATAGTTTTTTTTAGGTATTTACCAAAACATATTCAAGCTATAGTTATATAATGGATATGGGCTGAATGTGCACACTCTCAGTTTTAGTTTGATAATTTGAGGGTATGTACATCCAAATTGGAGGAGGGGTTTAGGAATTACAGCTCTTAAGAGAAGCCACCCCCCCCTTTTTCAAGGGACCAAAAGTAATTGGACAAATTAACATAATCATAAATAAAATGTTCATTTTTAATATTTTGTTGTGAATCCTTTACTGGCAATGACTGACTGAAGTCTGGAACCCATGGACATTACCAAAGACTGGGTTTCCTCCTTTCTGATGCTTTCCAGGCTCTAACTGCAGCTGTCTTCAGTTGTTCTTTGTTTGTGGGTCTTTCTACCTTTAGTCTTTCCTTCAGCAAGTGAAATGCATGCTCAGTTGGGTTGAGATCAGGTGATTGACTCGGCCAATGCAGAATATTCCACTTCTTTTCCTTCAAAAGCTCCTGGGTTGCTTTTGCAGTGTGTTTTGAATCATTGTTCATCTGTACTGTGAAGCACCATCCAATCAACTTTGCTGCATTTGCCTGAATCTGGGCTGACAGTATATCTCTAAACACTGCAGAATTCATCCGGCTACTTCTGTCTTCTGTCACATCATCAATAAACACCAATGACCCAGTGCCACTGGAACCCATGCATGCCCATGCCATCATACTGCCTCCACCTTGTTTTACAGATGACGTTATGTGCTTTGGATCATGAGCTGTTCCAAGCCTTCTCACTATTTTTCTTTCTGTCATTCTGGTACAGATTCATCTTAGTTTCATCCATCCAAAAAATGCTTTTCCAGAACTGGTCTATCTTTTTTAGATGTTTTTTGGCAAAGACTAATCTGGCTTTTCTATTCTTCAGGCTTATGAATGGTTTGCACTTTGTGGTGAACCCTCTGTATTTGCTCTTGTAAAGTCTTTTCTTGATTGTAGACTTTGACAATGATACGCCCACCTCCTGGAGAGTGTCCTTTACTTGTCTGGATGTTTTGAATGGGTTTTTCTTTACCATAGAGAGGATCCTGCGATCATCAACCACTGTTGTTTTCCATGGACATCCATGCCTTTTTATGTTTTGAGTTCACCAGTGCATTCTTCTTTCCTCAGAATATACCAAACTGTTGATTTGGCCACTCCTAATGTTGCTGCTATCTCTCTAACGGATTTGTTTCGTTTTTGAAGCCTTACAATGGCCTGTTTCACTTGCATGGACAGCTCCTTTGAATGTATGATGTAGGTTCACAGCAATAGATTCCAAATGCAAATACCACACTTAGAATCAACTCCAGACCTTTTACCTGCTTAATTGATGAAGAAATAATGGAGTAGCCCATGCTTGGCCATGAAACAGCTTTTGATTCAATTGTCCATTTACTATTGGTCCCTTGAAAAAGGGGGGATGGCTGCTCCTAAGAGCTGTAGTCCATAAATCCATCCTCCAATTTGGATGTACATACCTCCAAATAAACCTGAGAGAGTGCACTTTCAGTCCATATTCATTATATAACTATAGCTTGAACATATACAGTTGCAAGAAAAAGTATGTGAACCCCCTTGGGATTACGTGGCGTTTTGCATGAATTGGGCATAAAATGTGCTCTGAACGTCATCTAAGTCACAACAATAGAAGAACACAGTCTGCTGAACATAATACTACACAAACATTAGAAGTTGCCATGGTTTAATTGCACATAACATGTAAACATTCACAGTGCAGGGAGGAAAAAGTATGTGAACCTTTGGACTTAATAACTGTTTGACCCTCCTTTGGCAGCAATAACCTCAACCAAACGTTTCCTGCAGTTGCAGATCAGACCTGCACAACGATCTGGAGTAATTTTGGACCACTCCTCTTCACAAAACTGTTTCAGTGTAGCAATATTCTTGGGATGTCTGGTGTGAATCGCTCTCTTAAGGTCATGCCACAGCATTTCAATCGGGTTGAGGTCAGGACTCTGGCTGGGCCACTCCAGAAGGCGTATTCTGTGCTGTTGCAGCCATTGTTTTGTTGAATGACTTGTATGCTTTGGGTCATTGGCCTGTTGCATCACCCATCCTCTGCGGAGCTTCAGCTGGCGGACAGATGGTCGTACGTTTTCCTGCAAAATGTCTTGATAAACTCTGGAATTCATTTTCCCATCAATGACAACAATCCCTCCAGGCCCTAGGGCAGCAAAGCAGCCCCAAACCATCATGCTCCCTCCGCCATGTTTTACAGTGGGGATGAGGTTTTGATGTTGGTGTGCTGTGCCTTTTTTTTCTCCACACATAGTGTTGTGTGTTCTTCCCAAACAACTCAATCTTGGTTTCATCTGTCCACAGTATATTTTGCCAGTAGTGCTGTGGAACATCCAGGTGCTCTTTTGCAAACTTCAAACGTGCTGCAATATTCTTTTTGGACAGCAATGGCTTCCTCCGTGGTGTCCTCCCATGTACTCCATTCTTGTTTAATGTTTTCCTTATTGTAGATATGTCAACAAAAATGTTAGCATGAGCCAGAGATTTCTGTAGGTCTTTAGCTGACACTCTGGGATTCTTCTTTACCTCATGCAGCATTCTGCGCTGTGCTCTTGCAGTCATTTTTACAGGACGACCATGCCTAGGGAGAGTAGCAACAGTGCTAAACTTTCTCCATTTGTAGACAGTCTGTCTTACCATGGACACATGAACATCAAGGCTTTTGGAGATACTTTTGTAACCCTTTCCAGCTTCATGCAAGTCAACAATTCTTGATCGTAGGTCTTCTGAGAGCTCTTTTCTGCAAGGCATGGTTCACATCAGACAGTGCTTCTTGAAACCAGTAAACCCAAAACAGGTGTGTGTTTTTTAAGGGCAGGACAGCTGTCAGCAACACATCCAATATCATCACACTGATTGGAGTCAAGGTTGGCTCATTCCTGGCTCCAATTAGCTCTGGGAGAAGTCATTAACCTCCTTGGCGGTATTCCCGAGTGTAGCTCGGGGTAACATTTCAGTACCAAAAGCGGTAACCCCGAGCTACACTCGGGAATACCATGCGGCGCTGCTCCGGCATGTGTTCTTCACTTACCTTACCCTGCGCTCCCGCGATGTGTCCCCTGCAGCGTCCCCGGCCATCTCCTCCGGCCGATGCCGGCATCCGGCTTCTGTGTCCTGTCCCTGTGACGTCGGGAACGCGGGCGGCGGCGGGAAATTTAAAAATTTTAAAAAATGTCATTTTTTTTTTTTTTTCATTTTACACAGTAAAACATTGCTGTTTCAACCTATTTCACATACATATTGTCCCTAGTACTTTGTCCTGTGCCCTGCCTGCATTTTGTCTGTTCTTTCTGCCTGGAAACTGAGAAATGTCCATGGCGTCCAAAAAGTGTCCCTTTAGGTCAAAAGCGGTTTAGACCGGCTAGAGAACAGCGATAGTAAATCAGAACCACTTACAGAATTGAGTGATAATGATTCGTGGGGGAAATTCGTCATCAGAAACTGAAAACGATTTTGCGACTGAGCTCAGCAATGTGCGAACTTGGCGCTCTATTTCACATTTCAGTGTTTTTGGTTTGATTATATTATTGAATTAAATTTTTTATTATTTTTATATTATTTTTATGATTATTTATTAAATTATAATTTATGATTTTGTGTTTCAAATTTTATCCTACCCGGGATGTTTACTAGACTCTTGTTCGGACAGATTTCAGTGAGTTTTTCCTAAAAATTACAGCCTACAATAAAAAAAATACATATTTCCATGCAAAAAAATGGTACCCCAATGCTTTCAGCACCAAAAATCTGAAATAATCATACCGCCAGGGAGGTTAAGCTAGGGCCTCACATATTTTTTCCTCCCTGCACTGTGAATGTTTACATGTTAAGTGCAATTAAACCATGGCAACATCTAATGTTTGTGTAGTATTATGTTCAGCAGACTGTGTTCTTCTATTGTTGTGACTTAGATGACGTTCAGAGCACATTTTATGCCCAATTCATGCAAAACTCCACGTAATCCCAAGGGGTTCACATACTTTTTCTTGCAACTGTACATATATATATATATATATATATATACATATATATATATATATATATATATATATATATATATATATATATATATATATACACAGTTGTGTTCAAAATAATAGCAGTGTGTTGAAAAAAGTGAATAAAGCTCAAAATCCTTCTAATAGCTTTTATTTCCATACACACAAATGCATTGGGAACACTACACATTCTATTCCAAATCAAAACATGAAGAGAAAAATATATCAAATTTGTGTTGTTCCTCTAAAAAAATTGAAGAAAAGTGAATATTAGACTGTTCGAAAAAATAGCAGTGTTTGTATTCTTCTTTACAAACTCAAACATTCACTATATAAACTGAAAAATGTTTGAAGATTTTGCTTTCCTTTGAATCACTTAATGAATATTTAGTTGTATAAGCACTGTTTCTGAGAACTGCTGTACATCTGTGTTGCATGGAGTCAACCAACTTCTGGCACCTGTGAACAGGTATTCCAGCCCAGGATGATTGGACTACATTCCACAGTTCTTCTCTATTTCTTGGTTTTGCTTCAGAAACTGCATTTTTGATGTCACCCCCCACAAGTTTTCTATTGGATTAAAATCCAGGGATTGGGATGGCCACTCCATAACGTCAATCTTGATGGTCTGGAACCAAGATGTTGCACATTTACTGGTGTGTTTGGAGTCATTGTCTTGTTGGAACACCCATTTCAAGGGCATTTCCCCTTCAGCATAAGGCAGCATGACCTCTTCAAGTATTCTGATGTATTCAAACTGATCCATGATCCCTGGTATGCGATAAATAGGCCCAACACCGTAGTATGAGAAACATCCCCATATCATGATGCTTGCGCAACCATGCTTCACTGTCTTCACAGTGTACTGTGGCTTGAATTCAGTGTTTGGGGGTCGTCTGACAAACTGTCTCCGGCCACTAGACCCAAAAAGCACAATCTTACTTTCATCGGTCCACAAAATGTTGCGCCATTTCTCTTTAGGCCAGTCAATGTGCTCTTTGGCAAATTGTAACCTCTTCAGCACATGTCTTTTTTTCAACAGTGGGACTTTGCGGGGGCTTCTTGCAGATAGCTTGGCATCACATAGGCGTCTTCTAATTGTAACAGTACTCACAGGTAACTTTAGACCTTCTTTGATCTTCCTGGAGCTGATTGTTGGCTGAGTCCTTGCCATTTTGGTTATTCTTCTATCCATTCGAATGGTAGTTTTTTTTCGCTTTCTTCCACGTCTTTCAGGTTTTGGTTGCCATTTTAAAGCATTTGCGATCATTTTAGCTGAGCAGCTTATCATTTTCTGCACTTCTTTATATGTTTTCCCCTCTGCAATCAACTTTTTAATCAAGGTACGCTGTTCTTCTGAACAATGTCTGGAACAACCCATTCTCCTCAGAATTTCAGAGAGAAATGCACTGTAACCAGCATGTACAACATATGCTGCCTTCCTTCCTCAAATAAGGGCAATAACTGCCAACTGTTTTTCAAAGAATGAATGACCTCACTAATAGAACTCCACACTGCTATTATTTTGAACATGCCCCTTTCAATTAGTGATTCAATTATGCAGAATCAGCAGCATGCATGTCATGACTACTAGTAAATTATTTGCCATGTAGAAATATAATTTCTACCAAAAACAGTGATTGATCAGGTTAGTGATGTCTGACTATTATTTTATTTTGAACACAACTGTACATATATATATATACTGTATATATATATATATATATATATATATATATACATATGTATGTATGTATATATATATATATATATATATTATTTTATTACTCAGTATCTGTGCGCACTCGTCTACCCTTTTTTGCTCTATAGTCCTTTTGGTTGTTTTTTAAAGCATGTGACCTTAGCTGTCACTTTTCAAAAAAACCCATAGATTAATACTGGCAGTGCTCAGCCAAATGTAAAATTGCCTCTCTTATCGTAGAGAACAGATTCTTTTCTTGTTTTCCTTCCAATATTTGCTTTTATATTCTTCACTATAATTCATGATATGTTAACTCACCCGGATAGAAAGCTCAGTATTTTCCACTCCTGAATTCTCCATGCCTGTATCGAAGGCTCCAATATTCTGAAAGTAGTGACGGTCCACAGCTATTACACTTCCTGGTATTACAGGAGTTCTGGGTGAATATCACACATTATTACATTATAACACTTAAAATCACAATCCACAAGTGATTTATTAGGGCAATAGTCACCATAAATGGTAATAAATGTTTAGAAATCATGTCATTTTATTATTGCATATTGATTACAAATTTAGCCTGAGACTTTACAAGAATGCAGGGGCATTAAGGTCATACGGTGGGCTGAGAATCTTGTCATTAGTGGCACTTTTCTAGGGGTATCACAAAGCAAGTCATTACTTTGACATATCCCCAAAACTGATTTCAGGTCATTAAAGAGGATTTCAGATTGCTTTTTGTGGGCACATACTTTCTATATTGCCACTGTTCATTGATACCCATGTTAAATAAAGCCAAGCAATGTATAGCTTTGCAAATTTCTTCTTGGCTAAATAATTAAACATTACCTGAATGGAATGATGGGAGATTGTCGTACCTTCTCTTCCCTCTCTGCCAGATTAACCCAGTGAAAATCAAGTTTCCAATCAAACACTCCTTGTCTCAGGTCAGGTGAGTGGTAATAGTCATACGTTTTCCGGTCAATGACATCTAGAATGGGTGAAACTATTCTATTTCTATGATGTGAAAAAAAGAATGCTATATTTGTAAAGAGACATTACAATACTTTTTTTTTTTAAGATATATTGTTATAAACAAAAAATCAAGAGCTCATACAGAGTTTATATTCGTGTTTTAAATATTTACATATTTATAAGAGAAGCCATCTCAGTCGTATTTATAGATATTAGTAAAATACTTTTAGGGCCCATTCACACACCCCATGTGTGTGTCAACACGTGCATACATTTTCATTTTTTGTGCGTTGAAAGGCTGTTCTAAAAACCAATTCCAGCCATTTTTTCTTACATTGGGGCCTCAGGGGTGTTTAATTAGCAGTTCTGGCTGCAGCACTCCTGCCAGTGCTGTGTCCTGTGGTAACTGCTTTCTGCTACTAAATGTTCTTGGTCTTTCAGGTTAAAGGCGAAGTACAGCCAAAACCTTTTGGGCTGTACTTCTCCTGTTGATCAAAGCAGTCCAGTTTGTTCTGCACTCCTGTGACCCGTTTTCAGCCAACAGCGGGCTGAAGCCCACTGTCAGCCGACATCACTCAGCCAGTCCATGTTGGGAAAAGATTGTGACTTTAAAGTCGGAATCCACCCCAGAGTCTGGGGCGGCACCTGGCTTAGCCTCTCAGCAATCCACTGAGAGCCTGAGCCAGTCACTCCCTGCCCAGCCCAGCACTCCAGTGAGCAATGGTAGGGCAGAGCAGACAGCAGTGACTGACAATCCCATTCTGAGCAGAGCAGCTGTGAGAACTCAGCGATCAGCAGTCATGTGATCATTGAGGTCTCACACTTAGAGCCAGCAAGGGACAGATGCAGCATCCATATACATATAATTGGGGGAAAAAAATAAGTCCATACTTCTCTTTAATTGATGCCCAGCATCTTTTAACCCAAAATACTGAGGAAATCCCATAATTGCAGGACATTATGGACCTGCCCATTGAGCACAATAATAACCGCCAACATTGGTGTCAGTGAGTGCAACAATAACCTTCAACATTGGTGTCAGTGGACACTATAATAACCCCAACATCGGTGTCAGACAATAAAATCCCTCAAAACTGGAGTCAGTGGCTGCAATAAAAGCCCCCAGCAGTGCTGTCAGTACTATTATCATCGCTCACACATACATTGGTAGTCACTGGCAGTTAAATGTACTCCCCCACCCCCCTGCATTGGTGGTTAGTAGCAGTAAAATATAATCCCCCCCCCCCCACCCCCTCAGCATTGGTGGTCTGTGCCAGAGAAGTTTAACTTTCACATCTCCCCTGCACTGATGGTCAAGGCAGTTTTGGGCACCAGAGCTTTAAACAGTGCCCGGAATTCATTGATAGTGCCGTAGAAGCCCTTTAGAGATCTAACTCATAGTAGTGAGACAAATGGTGAAACTTCCAACAGATTCATGTATGTTTCAGTAAGGAGTATATGAATCTGTTGGAACACCGACATAACTGTTAAAAGCATCTCTCCTGCAAAGTAGTGCAGTTTTACAGGCAGAGAAGCTATATGGAAAAGCTGAAAGAGTGATGGAAATATCAAATATCAGTTACAGAGAAACGTAAAGAGAAATGTAATTGCAGAATTGTCTCAAAGATGCAATAAATAATGATTAAGGCACTCAGGTTTCCTTCCACACTCCAAAAACTGTTAATATGTAAATTTGTCCTAGTATTTGTTTGTGTGCATATGAGGTTGGAATGTTCGATTAAAAGTTCCTTGAGGGCAGGGACTGTGAATGGACAATATACAGTATGTAAAGTGCTGCCTAAATTATCAGCACTACACTATATTGCCAAAAGTATTGGGATGCCTGCCTTTACACGTACATGAACTTTAATGGCATCCCAGTCTTAGTCCGTAGGGTTCAATATTGAGTTGGCTTGCTCTTTGCAGCTATAACAGCTTCAACTCTTCTGGGAAGGCTGTCCACAAGGTTTAGGAGTGTGTCTATGGAAATGTTTGACCATTTTTCCAGAAGTGCATGAGGTCAGGCATTGATGTCGGATGAGAAGGCCTGGCTCGTAGTCTCCGCTCTAATTCATCCCAAAGGTGTTCTATTGGATTGAGGTTAGGACTTTGTATGGGCCAGTTAAGTTCCTCCACCCAAAATTTGCTCATCCATGTCTTTATGTACCTTGCTTTGTTTACTGGTGCGTAGTCATGTTGGATCAGGGAGGGGACATCCCCAAACTGTTCCCACAAGTTGGGAGCATGAAATTGTCCAAAATGTCTTGGTATGCCGACACCTTAAGAGTTCCCTTCACTGGAACTAAGGGGCCAAGCCCAACCCCTGAAAAACAACCCCACATCATAATCCCCCCTCCACCAAACTTTACACTTATTACAATGCAGTCAGGCAAGTACCGTTCTGGCAACCCCCAAACCCACACACATCCATCGGATTTCCAGACAGAAAAGCATGATTCTTCACTCCAGAGAACACGTCTCCACTGCTCTAGAGTCCAGTGGCAGTGTGCTTTACACCACTGCATCAAACACTTTGCATTGCACTTGGTAATGTAAGGCTTGGATGCAGCTGCTCAATCATGGAAACCTATTCCATGAAGCTCTCTATGCACTGTTGTTGTGCTAATCTGAAGGCCACATGAAGTTTGGAGGTCTTTAGCTATTGACTCTGCAGACAGTTGGTGACTTCTGCGCACTGTGCGCTTCAGCATGCGCTGACCCCTCTCTATCATTTTACATGGCTACCACTTCGCAGCTGAATTGCTGTTGTTCCGAGTTGTTTCCACTTTGTTATAATACCCCTAACAGTTGACCGTGGAATATTTAGTAGCAAGGAAAATTCATGGATGGAATTATTGCACAGTTGGCAACCTATCACGATACCACGCTTGACTTCATGGAGCTCCTGAGAGCCACCCATTATTTCATAAAATGTTTGTAGAAGCAGTCTGCATGCCTAGGTGCTTGATTTTATATACCTGTGGCCATGGAGGTGATTGGAACACCTGAATCCAATGATTTGGAGGGGTGTCCCAATACTTATATAGTGTATTTAAATGCCTGTAATAAATACATTTAAAATGGGCGATTTAAACAACAAATCACTCAACAAATCAGTTTTCGAGTGCTCAGGGGTTCTCACCCATGCAATGTGAAGGGATCGGGTTGGAAAGAAGAAAATAGATTTAGTTTGCCCAAAATTAGTAAGTCCTTATATGGGATATGGAATTTGGGAGTTCAGAGAGACTATGGGTAGGAAATAGCCTTCAACTCTGATTACAGTTACTTGGGTCCTGAAAGGTTAACCCACCTTCAAGGGAGTTTTTAAAAGGAAATGGCTAATAGGTGTCTGTGAGGTGGAGCATGAGGAAGGATACACTTGGGAGACAGAGTGGTGAACTGCTGTAATGGAGACCCTGCTAAATGGCTGGTGACCTGACTTTTAAACCCTTGAGGTAAGTGAGGACTTAAAGTGGTTGTAAAGGATTAAGGTTTTTACCTTCATGCATAGGATGCATGAAGGTAAAAAACCTTCTCTGTGCAGCCCCCCCCCCCCCTCAATACCCACCTAAGCCCCCTCTCGATCCAGCGATGTGCACTGGAGTCTTGGCTATCCCAAGACTTCCTCTCCATATTGGCTGAGACAGCAGCGGGAACCATTGGCTCCCGCTGCTGTCAATCACAGCCAGTGAGCCAATGAGAAGGGTGATGGGCAGGGCCGAGCCACAGCTCTGTGTGTGAATGGACACACGGAGCAGCGGCACGGGAGCACGCCTGTCCGGGTGGCTTCATAGCAAGCTGCTTGCTACGGGGAGGAGCACCCAACAGGAGGGAGGGGCCAGGAGCGCTGGCTGGTGACCTGAGAAGAAGAGGATTGGGGCTGCTCTGTTTGTTATATATTTATTTATTTTAAATATGCCTTTAGTATCACTTCAGTCATGGTAAGGGACAAGTTTTCAAGTTGTGAGCCGAAAGTTTGATTTTTGTACCAGGAGTTTGGACTGCTGTTTTCTGTATGGCTGAAAAAAGCTGCTTTGTTTGGAAACAATAAAGATTGTTTTACTTTACAAACGGCTGGTTGGTGGTCCCGGTCTCTCCATATTACAGACCATATTTCTTAATGAACTAGTCAACAACAATAGCACCGTACAGTACAAGCATTGCAAATAAGAACTGCTTGAATTTGTTGCATGTGTCATTATATCATCAATGGGAAAACTGCTCATGTTTTCTGTGAGTGCCCCTTTGCACAGAACCTGCTGAGAGCTCTGGAACCAGAACTCAAAAGATTTTGTATGCAATGCAGCCATCGCACACTTTGGGGTGTTTAACGGACTATTCTGTGGGACCAGGGTAGGCACTACCACTAGGCAACTGCCTAGGGCGCAACCAGGGCCGTTGATCTGTTGATGTTCCCCACCAGGGCCACCATCAGGGGGGGACAGCCCATACACATGGAACGACTGTCAAACAAAGCCTCCATGACATACTCCAGCCAGCCACCTCCCCTGGGTCCTGATCGGTGGATGATCACCCGGTCCCTGCCAGCTCGTTCTCAGGAACGGACACCTGGTAGTTGTGAAGCTGGAACTGGGGACTGCTGTTCACACTCCTCCTCAGCCTCCTGGGGCCCCGGGGCCCTCTACTCCCTCCTGACCCGCACCACAAGGCTCCATCCTCCTCATCACTGGCATAGCACAGCAGGTTCATTGGGCCGATGCAGCGGGCTGGTCCCCACACCTGACAGTCCCATAATCCCAGCACTGTTCCCAATAGATTCCGGCTATGGATCTCGAGCCACAGCACACAGCCTGATCGTTACATCCGTACATCACATCCACATCAAGCTCAGCCGGCTAGGTGGGGCTCTTCGCATGGTACTTGCAGTAGCAGTCTGCTCTGTGTCTGTCCTTATCTGTCCTCATCTACACCAACACTGTCCAGGACTGGAGCTGGATGAACACTGGATTCCCCCGATTACCATTCACAGCCATTCCTGCTCTGCAGATGGAGCTCCCTGCTCTCTGTCCACTTTACATCCC